GCAAAGTCGGGATGCGTGGTACTGAAGTCTTCCGCGATTATCAACATATGGTCTCCTGGAATTTTGCTCGCTTGCTGAAAAAGGCCCTGAAATTTAGTTTGTTTGTTTTTGGGTGTACTATATATGTTGAGAATAAAGACTGACTGTTTAAGCATTGAGTTTGGAATTAACTCTATCATAATGTGTTCGTCTTTAAGATCGGGGCGGACTTCAATGGCGAACATATGCATAGTTTTTGGAGATGAGCGTCTCTATCCCTCGATGTCCGCTTCGGTGTGATAGGTACGCAAAACAGGCTCGGCGGTTAGCATTTTTTGTAATAGAATTATGGCAGGCCGATTGGCACCAGATTGAATGAATTGTTGCAAGGCTGCCCTCCGCTTGGGAAAGCTAAAGCAGTTCCACTGTCAAATTACAAAATTGCTTTTGTTAGCCATGATTACTGCATAGGGGTTGTCGCACGAACTGCCGCAGGCTGTTCTTCTAGTATTTGTAACCGTGCGTGAAGTTCGGTGAGCTGGAGGGTGTGTGGGGTCATATTGGCAACGCGGTCTGCTGCAATGTCTGCGCGGAGGCGGGCAAGTGCCTCCATGAAATTAGACATAGTAACGGGCTCGTCCGTGGGGTCCTCGGCTGTGTGACGCTTAGCAGCACGATTAGCGTTCGACGAGTTAGTGGAAGCGGCTTCAACGGTCGGAGCGGCGGGCGTCAGCGTCTCGACAGCGCGTTCACTCGGCTGCTGCGTGTTTTTAATGAGTGCTTTAAATTCTTCGTTTTCTTTGCGCAGCAAGGCTAGCTCTCTTTTGAGCTCTCGAATTTCATCGGTTTCATGCTGTAGCAAGTTACCCGACCGCGCGTAACGAGAGTCTCACCTTTACCGGTGATTCGATCGGCCCAAGTAGGCGTTGCTGTCGGGTTCTTGGTGGTGGTAGGCACGTGCTTAGTCGGTGGAGTCGGGGATGGTTGCTTGGGCGTCAGCTGTTGCGTGGCCGAGCCTCCTTGGGTCTGTTGGTTCTTGTTTCGCCGGTGTCTGCGGTGTCGTCGACGTCGAACGACGTAGGGGACTTGATAGCGATTTGGGCATGTGCAGTCGCCCGTAATGGGGGCCTGGCCGCACAACGTGCACTTGGGTGTCACACACTCATGGTCAGGTCCGGTGGGTTTGATACCGCAGTGTTCAAACTTTCTCAGATGGGTTAGGGCAGAGACGTCTTGTCGATGTCCGACGCGGCCGCAGTTGCGGCAGGTGTCGATCTGTTGCTTGTAGAGTGTGCAACGCAGCAGGAGCATGCCATAGCGCACATAGTTGGGCACTTTAAGTCCATCGAAGAGAAGGATGATGGTGGTTATATTCTTGATTCATCGTACCCTCATTAACATGGTGTTGTGTGATGATACAAACAGGCGTTGTAGCTCCGAGTCTGGAAGGTCAGCGTTGACCCCTCGGACTACGCCTCAGCTGGTGGTGCCAGACGCCGCTTCTTAAGCGGATTCTGGATGTGCTCGCTCCATGAGAACAATTTCTCGTACTTTGGCGTACGCTTGGGCCGTTTGTAGGTTCGGCGTGCTGATCACAAAGATATTCTGTGTGTCGTTAGTGCAAACGATATCTTCCTCTGCTGCTGTTGGCGGGAGTCGTGCAGCGAGTAGTAGAGCTTGCAAGAACTCAAGCTTGTTGCACCTACGTACATCCAGGCCACCTCCGGGGCGGACGATGACGTGGTGATGGTCCGTTGGGAGCGGGGGGAGTCGGCTGGCGGCTGCAACCCTCGTCACAGCTCCGGTCTGCAGGGCGCCAATGCGGGTGCCAGCTGGCTTGCCGGTGGTTGTAGTTGAAGACTTTGGTCGACGACGGATTGCATCGATCCAGCCAGGCCTGCTGGCTTCCTCTTCAGTGATAGTTTCTCCATCCACCATGGCTTCGGGCATGATGATGGCGCAGCGGTGTGATGAGATGAGCAGTGTGAAGAAAGTCTAGGAAACTTGCTAGGGCACTTTTTGTTTTTCTGAGACCTTAACACTAGCTGCCATCTCAGTGTGCTAAACATTTGGTGCCACCACTTATTGCAATCGATGAGGGTGGCAATTCGGGTTTGTTGGTATGGTAGCATGATAATAAATGGTAGCGCAGACAAAGGACATGGACAAGAGAAAGCACATTCAAGACAACACAGCGTTTTGACACTTTCGAAAAATATACTTTGGACAAATAATTTGAAGAAATAAGAAAGAAGCAGTTGGGCATGTATACCTCTGCTTGTTAGCTGTGCATGTTTACAAAAAGAAAGCAGTTAGGGAACACAATGTGATGTGATATTTTCATGATGTTGTCTCCATGTTATTTTTTTAACTTGCAAAAGCATGAGCTCACACTAAAGGGAACAATGAAGACAAACGAGTAATATACTTTAAGACTTAAGGAATGGAAGAGAGCGGAGATTATTTATGGTAGCATGTTACCTAAAAATAATATGCTGTAGACGATTGCAATACAGCCGACGTCAGATTTCCCAGACGCTCAAGGAATCGCAAAAACATAAAAAAAAATGAGGCAGTCCGGAAATGCGAATGCAAGCAAGACCGCTTCTTTAATAGGTGTTTTTTTACTGACTGAGAGGGTCATGGCAGGAGTACAGGACTCTCATTGCAGTTGAATGAATGTATCGTTTAGGCTCTGAAAAGAGCTGTATATATTAAAATTTAATAAAGAAAAAGAAAAAAGATCCAATGTGGCTGGCACTACAGCGTTTGTAAACACTTACGGGCAAAAAAAAAAAAAGTCGCTTATTTTCATTTGCATAAAGTTCTACTTGGCCGTGATGATTTCTGCGATAATTTCGGCTAGCGTCATGCTGTCCCTGTACATCGATGACTGTGTCAGTGGTCGCGTCAACCCTGAGCTCGTGTTCTGTGTAGGTGCTTCCTCTTCGTTCTCAGTGTAAGAGTCGTCGGAATCCTCCATAACTTGACGAATGATTTCGTCACCGGTCAATTCCGCACACAGCTCGAGGTCTTTGTCAGTGTCCAAGAAGTCCTGAAAGGCTCAAAGGTTTCCTGGCTGGAATCGAAACACCGGCAGCGTGCAGATCATCGAAAGCGAGTTCGCTAGTAGAAGTTCGTTGCACTCGCTGTTCACTCCGGGCAGGACTGCTGTCTTGACGTCCAGTATGAAGTTCGCGTAGCAAAGACAGTTCCGTGGGGTCTGTTGTGTAGCCGTCTTTCACGAGTCTGCAAGCATGCCAACACCAGACCAAAGGTCAACAGCGTAGCTTTTTTAACTGTCGGAACACAGGCAGCACAGCACCATGCTGCTGTGGCCACTTATTTGACTATGCTACGGCGGGCAATGGATTGCACGCACCGGATTGGGGCATTTGCTGTTTTGAGGGTACGGCAGCCGTGGCGAAATGGGTTTGAGAATTCGAAGACAACCAAAACGGCAGCATTGATAGTGGCTTCGAATCTGCAATCAGCAGTAAAAAGTCGGAAAAAGCGGATGGCGAAAGCTATAAGTGTCCGAAATTTCGGACTTTATTTAAAAAGTACATTCACTCTACGGAGAACTTGACAGTGCCATAGATGAGTCCAGGAAATCAAACATGCCTGGAATTTCGGGTGTCCGAGAAATGGGACGTCGACTGTGGTTGTACCTGCTATATTTAGAGTAGGCTCCTCCCGTAAACCTCAACAAAATGTGTCACTGATAGAGACTGTAGTACTGCTCACTTCAAATTTGGAATTAGGTGTTCGTTATGCACCAAGTTTGTGCAGTGCTTGGAACAATCGAAGCTAATATAAATTTTGGTTTGTTTCTGTGTGTTCAAGCAGCCTAAGCAACATGCGAGTCCTGAATTATCTATTTTTTGTCTCCTCCGCTGCACGGTTGGAAAAAGATGCGAAACTACTCGCCAGGTCTGTGTTATGTGGAGCCTCTGTGTTAACACCATAACACTCGTAAATTGTCAAAATTCTATGTGTGTACATTGTCCTCTAATGCAAAAATTTAGTTTACTTCATCTCGTACACAGCATAAAGTGTGCTGTCCGCTTTCACATCTTCAACTTTTCCTTTCTTATAGTGTGGTGACTAATCAGTCGGTCAATCAGTGCCCCACACAGTAAAGCCCCTTTTATGCGTTTATGAAAAAAATTGCAGAGCAACTCGTGCAATTCTAATTTGCTGAAACATCATGTAGTTTCGCTTGATAATGACACCAGGAATATTGGTACGGGCAAATCAAACTAACCAGGAATGTATCAATGAGATCCTACTGTATGCCTAGCTCGTTTATATGTTTTCCAGCGTTCCATGTTTTCTGGTGTTAAGTTCCATCAAATAAATCACCAACAAACGGCCTCCCTGCTTGATGTATTGAGGGGATATGCCAACGCCTGTATTGACGTGCATTCTCACAATGCCATGGCAATGGTCATAAACCTTATTCTGGCAAAGGCACGAAAAAGACTCCAGGGTTTCGTCGAAGGGCCTCTTTTAGTTTTAAATTCATTACGGTACTTAGAAGTGTAAAAAAAAAAACACGGAATAAACTCAAACTTGACCTGTATAGTCCTTTTTCTAGTGTATGTTGTGTTTTTTGCACTTCTAAGTACGGTCGCAGATCTTTACATACGTGCCCAAGCATCTTTTCTTCTAAAGAATTCAAGTTATCAGTAAGTGCTTCTGATGTAGAGATATGTTTGTCGCATGACTTTCATTATTGAACATGACTTCCCGATTTTAACTTTCATGTTTGCACTGTACGTTTCCCACTCTGCTGTATATGTGTTCTTTTTCTAATTTTTGTTTTACTTGAAATTTCTTGGAAGGCATACCAGATGACAGGGCGGACAAGCAACCTAGGAAAGATAAGATATAATCGAAAGATTACAAGCCCCCCCTTGCTGATTTCTTGTGTATGTCTTTGTTGTTGTGCCCGAAATGCAGAGAAGTTAACTTTCCCTCCGAGTTTTGTGTGACGCGGTGGTTTTTCGGTGACGCAGCTTGCTGGCTCTCATACTACCCCGCAGCACATGCGATGAGCAAAGTCCTCCGTTGTCTGAACCGAGGTGTCGCGCCGGGTTTTGCGCAGAGCTTGCCCCGAGAAGGCTCGCAGGGCGCAGACATCTCCATGGTGTCGTGCAACTGCGCCACCCCTCGCAACTAGCCGGGGAATTCACGAGCCTGAGCACCAGCCGCTGACTGTGTGTGTGCGACGCTGTTGTTTCCTGTCTCTCTCTATCTCCTCTTCTTAGTGCCACTTCGTTCGCCGTCTTGTGTGTTTGCACGCACGTTCGTTTTTTCTTCTCTTTATAGGTTTAACACGTCGACCGGAGGAAGATTGTGGTGTTCGACCTTTTTCTTTGCCCAAGCCTCGTAGTTTTTTTTTTAATTGCGGGTAGAATTTTCGCGTGCTAATAAAAATTTGACGGCATCATATTTGGGAGAGTCCTGGTGCTTTTCCTGTCATAGACATGGTGTGGGATTTTGGCGTAGAATTCTACTGCAATTGTGCCAAGTGAGAGGCACATACTAAGAGAACGGGATACTGATGTCTGCAAATTGTCAACTCTGTTTTTGTCTATATTAACTAACATTCGTCTGAATTGGAATCGCACCTGCCCTGTGTGTATTTCAAGTCCCCGCTTCGAAGCCCTCATTCGTGTCGTTCCAACATTTGTTTAATATTCCGAAATGGTATGTACATGTGTTTATTTGTATATCACATGTATGTGTATGTATATCACATGTATGTGCATATACATATACCACGTATTTCTTCTCTGTCATTACTGTTTTGTGTGGATACCATTGATGTGGTTTTGCGGAAATAAACATTTCAAAGTTTGCACGCATACTTGTCCAGTTTTCTTTGTTAGCTTTCTTTTACTCAATGTCACTGCATTGGACTGTACCAACTAGCCGAAGCTGCTGAAGCTTTAAAGGTAGAATGTCCAAATGTTAGCTTGCTCTGGTAGCTTAGCCACTATGTTACTGCACTGCCAAGCATGCGGGTGCAGATTCGACTCTCCACTGCAGCAGCTGTACATCAGCGTAGCAAAATGCAAAAGCACCCTATCGCTTAGGTTTAGATCCACTTTAGGTACAGTCCAACTTTATCTTCCTGATGGGGAGTCGTGATCATCTGATTTTTGGCACGTGTAGACCCAGTATTTAATTGTCTAAGATATTCTGGATGAGCTCAAAAAATATTTTGCAGCACTGTAATCTTTGTGTTTGCTTGGATCTATATGTTTTTCTTCTTGGTCTGTCTTTACATTGGACTTGACGTGTTGGCACGAAGAAGACTGTGTTCCCACATCTTTGCTAACTAATTTCTTTTCTTTGAGAGTTGCATTTTCACGTGCTAGTTTCTTCATACGCTAGTAGCACGTTTGAAACACTCCTCACCCTTTCTATGGCATGTTTATTACGGGAGCAGGGGGAGGGGTGGTTCACATAAAGTTGGAGTGTTTAAATAATGCGGTACTGGGAGGTTCTCGGATGCTATTCAAGGTGCTTTTCAGTGCGTCTCGAAAGCCCGCTGCATACAAGTGCTTTTATGTGGAAGCAAAAACTAATCGGCTTTGAACATTATGGTTTTTTCAGTTGTGAACATTGCTATGGATGCAGGTAAAAATTTCGGAAAAGCACCTCTAGCCTCTTTGTGTTGAACCTCTTGTTCATTTTGTAACACTGCTGTCCACACACACAAAAAAGTGTTCAGATGGCATGACGGAGGCACCTACGTCTTATACATGCCTTCAATGTGAATGCTCAGCGTGCCTGGATGTGACGAAATTAACGTCGGTATCGCGTGACGAGTTATCACGTCACGATTTTGTCATCGCATAAAGGGACGACGTCGTCAGTTGATCACGTGAGCTTTGCCACCACTTGGCAATGCCGACACTCTCTGGTAAGGTGACAGTTTTCGCTTTGTGGGGCACACAATGCCTTCGCATCAAAGTGCAGTAGACTGGGGTGACAACTAAGTTCTTTAGTGGGCAGGGAACACCTGAGCCCCGCCGCGGTGGTCGAGTGGCTAAGGTACTCGGCTGCTGACCCGCAGGTCGCGGGATCGAATCTCGACTGTGGCGGCTGCATTTCCGAAGGAGGCGGAAATGCTGTAGGCCCGTGTGCTCAGATTTGGGTGCACGTTAAAGAACCCCAGGTGGTCGAAATTTCCGGAGCCCTCCACTACGGCGTCTCTCATAATCATATGGTGGTTTTGGGACGTTAAACCCCACATAGCAATCAATCAGGGAACACCTGAGTCATTAGGTTCATGTAGTTTATTGCTTAATGCGGCTAATATGTCACTTATGATTGCTATTACTGGTATTTTTATGTGTTTTTAGCTTTTGCGCTTCTAGACAAATGTGTTGCTAACAGTCGTATCGATGTATGCTTTCTCAGTGGCTATACGTTGTGTCACTCTGAATGGAACTGATGTGTGAGAGGTTAGCAAATGTTCTGAATAAAAGTTTTCTTCTGCGTTGGGATTGCGTGTTGCTGCATTTTCGTTTTCTCGCGTTGCCCTCGTGTTTTGAGAACACCACTGGATTGTTGACACAGTCAGCGGATACGTGCAAAAGTAAGCATGGGAAGAGTAGTTATGAAATGCACACTGTTGGTGCTGCAAGGGTAACTGGGTTTAGCAGTATCTGATCGAGACTCGTTCGTCATGTGCGCTTAAAAACGCCTTAGTCACTTGGAATTGACGACATTTCGCTGACGTTTCCCTTTTCAAACCGAACGTGTCGTAGCGGATTTAAAAGTGTACTTTTCATATTTTGCCGGCTGTTGCTTAACTCTTCAATTACCACGCCTATGCAAGTTGATCACCGGTGATCGACGGTATGAGTCGTCATGTGGGTTCGTTGAATTTGTTTATCGTGCATCCAGCACCTTATAGTAGTTAGTCCAGCCACTCAACATTCATAATCGATTAGAATTTGCCTGTTTCTGTAACATGGTCATTTGTGACACACCTTTGCGCAAACCAATGTGCGTGCGTTGTTGGAAAAGTGCACTAGGCTGGCGACAGAAGTGAGCACCTCTCGTGATTATGCTGCAGTAACATCAAGGTTCTGTAACGGAAAGAACCTTTGCAAGTCGAATGTCAAATTAAGGTGTCTCCTTATCTGACAGTGCTCATCAGTAATAATTGCCAGAAATTTATGCGAGCTATTTAATAGAGAGCTGTTGCAAGGAGTCGGGGAAAATTTATCAACAAAAAATATTTCGGAAGGTAGGAGGGGCCTTCTAAACCAGTTTCCAACAGTTTTGGTTTTTCTTCGTTTTGTTATATCAGATCCTGGGCCGCATTGCTAAAAGTATCACTCTTTATCTTTTATGTTATTGATTTCTTTGCTATTTATATTTATCGTATTTACCTCTAGTTTGTCATCACAGGAAGTTGCATTTTTTACTTCTTTTTCTTCTCAGCAACTCGGTCAAATGACTACTGTTATACACAAAGTAATTTTTATATGTTTTTATAAATGTGTTTTTATTAGTGCAACTCATGTACACTTATTTTCTTTATTTTGTTGTACGCTGTGATTAGTGCTGCCATAAAGGGTATTCCGGCTCTCTGGAGCTGTTTGTAACAGCCTTTCCCCCGAAGGACCCTCAACAAATTGTAAAAAAACTGTTGGAAATAAAGATTTGATTGATTGATTGACTAAGCGTCGCGAGATTAAGTGTATCTGCTCTGGCGTAGTCATGGGTGCACACGTGCGCCGCAAGAGATTCGCTCTGCAAGGAACTAGCAGCTAAGGTACTCGGTGGTCTAGTGGCTAAGGTACTCGGTTGCTGACCCGCAGGTCGCGGGATCGAATCCCGGCTGCGGCGGCTGCATTTCCGTTAGAGGCGAAAATGTAGGCCCGTGTGCTCAGATTTGGGTGCACGTTAAAGAACCCCAGGCGGTCAAAATTTCCGGAGCCCTCCACTACGGCGTCTCTCATAATCATATGGTGGTTTTGGGCCGTTAAAAACCCCACATATCATCAAAAACTGTCCTTCCTGAGACTTTTGAAAAATAAGCATTTTTTGCGCGCCGCACCCCAGGCCTCTTAATGCAGTTTTATCGCCACGCAGATTTTTTAAAAATCTGGTTGGGAGCTGCGCGGCGCCGGGATTCGAGCCACGGACCTCTTGCATGCGAGGCAGATGCTCTAACCACTACGCCATTGCCGCGAATGTTGTTCATACGGTGTGCGAAAATGCAAGGAAATAAGCTTGGATGCATATATTGGAACGCCAACCTCTGCGGAGAAAGGTGGCTCACGGAAAGAGGTGGCGCTATACGAAATTGAGAAATTCATTGGACATAAGATTTATACAGAAATTATTCACATTACGGTTATCCAGCTATATTCGAACACCTGCCGTGTCCTACAGCAAAATAACAAAATTTTACTTAGAAAATTGTACGAGTTCAGGTGTCTCACGAAAAACTAAACAATGCGTCACCGCATGGCACGAGTAATGAAACAGTACCTCGGTTTCTATTGCCTTTCTCTATGTGAAATATAGAAAATTTTCTACAACATTCCTCATACGGCGTCTCTCATAATCATATGGTGGTTTTGGGCCGTTAAACCCCACATATCAATCAAAAACTGTCTTCCTGAGACGTTTGAAAAATAAGCATTTTTTGCGCGGTAAGGAAAGAGTTCGTGAAATTTTCTGAAACTTGGTGTGTTGCCCTCTCAGGAGACATCGCACTCACTCTATTTTTCGCTGATCAGAAACTACATAGGACCTTGTACACGCCGTCAAAGTCGAAATTCCCGCATCAAACGTTGGGACGTCCAAGGCTGCCAGCGTTTCCTTTGAGCGTGTTTTCTCGCTTATTTCCAAGCGTTGTCTCGCTGCAACCTTGGAATTCTGAAAGATCAACTGATATACGAACAATCGTTTCTCTCTTCAATAATGGCCCTTTAAGACTGAAATAAAAAAGGGAAGAATCACCCGTCAATCGGTGCATTCGCGTCTGCAAAACATTTTTTTTTTCTAAGCGAATGTCAGAACGCAACAGTGTGTGACAGCTTTACGGTGCAGTTAGTTGCAACACAAAATTGTTCGTTGCCCCGCCGCGGTGGTCTACAGACCACCGCGGTGGAGCAACGAACAAGTACCTTAGCCACTATAGTGGCTAAGGTACTCGGCTGGTGACCCGCAGGTCGCGGGATCGAATCCCGGCTACGGCGGCTGCTTTTCCGATGGAGGCGGAAATGTTTCAGGCCCGTGTGCTCAGACTTGGGTGCACGTTAAAGCACCCCCAGGTGGTCGAAATTTTCAGAGCCCTCCGCTACGACGTCTCTCATAATCATATGGTGGTTTTGAGACGTTAAACCCGACATATCAATCAAATCAACAAAATTGTTCTCTGCACAATTTTTATCACAGTGGTGCGAAGCGTGCAACGTTTAATAAAAAAGCATATTGTAGACCTTAATATATGACGCTGCTAGGTATGTGTTCACTTATCAAAAGTGATTATGTCCATTGCGCATGCCCGCAACTGTGCAGCCTGCTGCACTGTGTCGAGCAGCAGGCTTCATGTTTGCAGCAGCGGGCTGCGTTTTTTCCCTTTTACTATTTAGCGCATGAAACATGTAATGCACCAACCCGTTCTCATGCGTGCGTTGGCCGACCTCCACCCCGACGACCTCTGACGTTGGTAGTCGGGGTGGAGATCGGCCATCAGAATTCAACGTGCGTGCATCTACGTCAAGTGGTGCTATATCTGCGCCAAACACCAATACATGTTTTCCCCCACTGCCATATATGATAATACATTAAGCATCCAACTGCTTCTTTGGCCTTATATCGACTCTTATGACGGAGAAATCGGCCATTTTTGTTGCACTCTTTAAACAAAGCTCCGCATCCGCAACCACTTCAACGCAGACGCTTAGTGCGCGTCTCATTTTACAGCGCAAGCTGTTAGATCACAACAAGGGTCGATTTGGGCGCCGCTGGCGGTGTTCGTACCGCTATTGCGTGAATGGGGTTCGAACCCAGGCCCTCTGCGTGACGCCAATTCTGCCACAGAGCCACCCCTGCTTGAAACTGACCCCTTGCAGGCTTCATGTCGAACGAAGAAGCGCGGTAGCGTGTGTAAAAAAGCGTTTCAGAAAAAATAAGCAACCTGGTGTTATGCAACGCGAATTGCGAATTGCACAAGGAGTAGGTCGTTGAATGCTTTCAACCCATTACAAAAGGCTCAGCCGTAATTTTTTTATGGTCGTCAGCTTAAAGGTGTGCAGCGGGTATCGTGCTTCTCCGTAGAATGACAAATACTGATGAAATAGGGCATGCTTCCCTACTTCACGATTATTTATGGTGTCGTGCTTGCCATATGCATTTTCACTTGTATACTAGTTGGCCCAAGAGTGTTTCGAAAAAAAAAAAAACACTCTATAAAGGCTGCTCTTCCAGTTTTAGCTATATAGGACTGTGCTGCGCGATTAGCGCAGCCTTGGTTGTTTTTTTTTTCTCTTTGTCGTCCGTTGCTCGCCTGTGAAACCGTGCACTTTGTGTGTGTTGTGAGACGTACGTGTATCTCCTCTCTCTCTCTCCTTCTCTCTCTCTCTCTCTCTTTTACTCCTTGCTCCCCTTCCCATGTAAAGGGTAAAAACTGCACCTGGTCTTGTCAACCTTACTGCCTGTCCTACATGCTTTGTCCCTCTTTGGAAAACGATTTTTGCCGTCTTTTGGCATTTCAGTTCTCGAGGCCTGTATTCACAAACTAACCTTGCCATTTCCTCGCGTTTTCCTCAAGTTTCTGTACTCTTTACGTGCGTTATGAGGGCACAGAAATGGTAACAGGGTGAAACATACCTACGGGATTGGTTCATGTATACTAGCCTACTTTGTTCAGGAAGCGCAATAACGGCTTAAAAACCGACGAGGAACACTCGAGGTAAGGTTGAGGTTGGTTTGTGAACACGGGCCTTACCCCCGTATTCACAAACGCTCCTCGACTCGACTTTCAGCCTTCCCTTGACAGAGTTGCGCACTGCGCCGCTGCTCGGCTGAAAATGACGCTGCGGTACTCAAGAATAGCAGCAAATTATCACTGATATGCAGTGACTTACCCTACCCAGAGATGGCGCTCCCATCGGCTTTATCAATATCAAAATAAAATATGGACAGTGTGCCGTAAATGGCAGAGAACTTAAGCTGAAAATTTACCTTTTTTTCCATTAAGATAGAATTTATCGAAGTAGAGGCATTAGGCCAACATAAAAAAAGAAAAAGGGTTTTTTTTTTTTTTTTTTGTCGAGCCTGGTGGCATACTTGTCACCACCCCGTTATAAAGGGGACGCTCATAGCATCCATCCATACATCCATCCATCAAGTGAAGGTGGAGCGTTGAGTGGAGGGGCGTTCGAGAATACGGGGGTTAGTTTCGCATTGTCCGAAAAGTGAGTGCCCCTCCACATCACGATAACGCGCGCCTGTATCCTCGACGTGTCGTTCTTAATAA